CTTGTCAAGAGATGCATGTGAAGTTAGAACTAAATTTTTTTGTAAAATTTTTGTGCTTTATGATTTTAAAACATTTGTAAAACTAAATTAATTAAAATAAGTGTATGTTGAACTGTTTCATATAAATATACAAAAGTTTGTATATTTCAAGTTGGTCAGAATTTTTTTTTTTAATTTTTTTTTTTCAACGTTTTTTATTTATTTTTGGGACAGAGACAGACAGAGCATGAGCGGGGGAGGGGCAGAGACAGAGGGAGACACAGAATCGGAAACAGGCTCCAGGCTCTGAGCTGTCAGCACAGAGTCCGATGCGGGGTTCGAACCCACAGACTGTGAGATCATGTCCTGAGCCGAAGTTGGATGCTCAACCGACTGAGCCACCCAGGCGCTCCTGCCATGTTTTTTTTTTATAACTACACCTTTAAAGTCACAATGTGAGCTTATGAACATAAAAATATATGTGATGTGATTTTATTTGTACAATTATCATGTTACTATATTTAGTATTCAGCTAGAGATATGATGGGATAGAGACTGATTACAGGATCAGATTGAGCTAGTGGGTGGGTGATGAAATTGTCACAGTTTTCCTTCTTTCTGTCTCTGGAAAATAACAAATGGTAGTCTAAATCAAAAAACCATCTAGAAATCTTGTTTGCCTTTAAAAATTAAGTGGTAGAGTTTTCTTTTTTTTAATTGAAGAAATGGTCATTTATCTTTTCTTTATTTTTTTTAAAATTTTTTTGTTTATTTATTTGTGTGTGAGATAGAGACAGATTGTGAGTGGGGGAGGGACAGAGAGAGAGGGAGACACAGAATGAAGCAGGCTCCAGGCTCTGAGCTGTCAGCACAGATCCTGACATGGGGCTCAAACTCACGAACCGTGAGATCATTATCTGAGCCGAAATTGGATGCTCAACCGACTGAGCCACCCAGGTGCCCCTGTTTATCTTTTCTTTAGACCAGAGATGGCAAATAAAAGACTAATTTTGCTCCCCCTCCTTCCATGCTAATTTCAAGACCCTTTTACTTAAAAATCTTTCTCAATATACTACTCCACTCAGCTACTATTAATTGATTGGAATTGACACCAAAGATGAAACCTATTTGACATTTCTGCTCTAGGCAATATTTTGTTTTATTTTTGTCGGTTTTGTTTAAGTGGTGTTCTTGTGCTTCAATGGTGTCTTCTTTGGAAATTAAAAATAATGCTCTTAAAAATAGTTTTTAAAATTTATTTTCTTTTTTTGTTTGTTTATTTATTTTGAGAGAGAGCGATAGAGAGCACGCATAAGCAAGGGAGGAGGTCAGAGAAGGAGAGAGAGAATCCGGAGCAGGCTCCGTACTGTCAGTGCACTACTGCAGAGACCATTGTGGGACTCGAACTCATGAACTGTGAGGTTACGACCTGATCAGGTCTGATCAAGAGTCACTCAACTGACTGAGTCATGAAGGCGCCCAGATTTTTACATTTTTAAATGGTTGAAAAAAGACTTGGAAAAATATGAAATTTTGCTTTTAGTGTCTATAAAGTTCTCATTCATTTACTGTCCTTTGGATGCTTTTGTGCTGTAATGGCAGAATGGAGTAGTTGTGACAGAGACTATGTGGTCTGCAGAGCCAAAAATATTTACTCTTTGGCCCTTTACAGAAAAAGTTTTCCTTCCCTTGTTTTGAGATAATAATGTGACAGTGAATGATTGATTTTGGGTTATTTAGTAAAGGACAAAACTTATTTTGCTGGTATTTTCAACAAGTTTCTGAAAAGGAATAACTTAGGAAATAGCTGCTGTTTTATACAGGTAAATAGAAATAACCCTTCTTTTTTTTTTTCTTTTTTTCTTTTTTTCATTTGTTTTTATAGAATACAAAGAACATAGAGTTACCAGCCTTATAGTCTGTGAGCTCATGCTATTATTTCTTATGTAGTTGAGAGGAAGTCCATAGCACTGATACTGCCACAGATTTTAGCAGCTTATAATTACACCTGTGTAGTAGGACATTGTAGAACAGCAGCAGTTCTTACACTCTTTGGTCTGAACTTCTTTAAGACTTTAAAAAATGTAGAGTCCCAAAGAGGTGTTTTTGTTTTTTTTTTTTTTTTTTTTTTTTTTTTTTTTTTTTACTATTTTTTAATGTTTTATTTATTTTTGAGAGAGAGAGAGAGAATACAGATGGGGGAGGGGCAGAGAGTGAGGGGGGCAGAATCTGAAGCAGGTTCCAGGCTTTGAGCTGTCAGCACAGAGCCCAACGTGGGGCTCAAACTTGTGAACCATGAGATCATGACCTGAGCCACCCAGGTGCCCCTGTAAAGAGGTTTTTTTTTGTAAATACAGGTTATATCTATCATCCTTGTCACGTTAGAAAATGACAAAATTTTAATATATTTATTTAAAAGTAACAATAATAAATCCATTGTATGTTCACAAAAGAACATCTTTATGGAAAATATTTTGTAAAAAAAATTAGTAAAATTTTTGCAAATCTCTTTAATGATTGCTTTAGTAGAAGACAACTGAATTCTTGTACCTCTCCATACACTCTGCTGTGATATATATGTTCTTCTGATATGAAGGCAATCTGGCCATACATAGATACATAGTTAGAAAAATGAGTATTTTAATAGCTTTTTTAGATAATTGTGGATGTTTCTCTTTGATACTATACCAAAACTCAGCAAGTGGTAGTGATTTTGCTCTTTTTTTTTTAAGTTAGGTTTACTGAAGTTTAATTTACAAAGAATAAAATGTGTGTGGGTTTTTTTTTGTTTTGTTTTTGGTATATAATTCTGTGAGTTTTCATTAACCCACAAGTCATGTAACCATCACCATAGTCATTATGTAGAATATTTCAGTCACTTTGAAAAGTTTCCTCATGCCCTTTTATAATCAGTCCTCTTCCATCATTCCCAGCTTCTGGCAGCGTCTGATCAGATTTTTGTCTCCATATTTTTGCCTTTTCCAGAACATTGTATAAATGGAATCACATAAAATATAACGTAATGTATTTGCGATTCATTCCTGTAGTTACAGCTATCACTGGTTCATTTCTTTTTGTTGTATGGATGTTTGTTTATCCATTTACCAGTACTGGATATTGAGTTGTTTCCAGTTTTGGGGGGGTTGTAAATAAAGCCACTAAGCATTCATGTACAGATTTTTACATGAACGTATCTTTTCATTTCTTAGATAAATAGCTAGGCATGCTATTGCTGGGTAGCATGGTAGGTGTATGTTTAACTATAAGAAGCTGTCAAACTGGCTTTCCAAAGTGGGTAGACCATTTTGCATTCCTACCACCAATATGTGAAAGTCCTAGTTCCTCTACATATTTACCAACGTTGAGATGGTTTTGTTTTAGCCATTCTAATCAATATTAGAATTAGTTTCAGTTTGTATTTCTCTAATAATGATATTGAGAATCTTTTCCCTTCATATCTGTTCAGCAAAGCACGTTTTTGAATCTTTTGCCCATTTTTTTTTTAAGGAATTTGGTGGTTTAAAAAATTATTATTGAGTTGTTAGAAGTTTTTCTGTATTCTGAATTCTGAATATCAACCCTTTTACTTAGATATATAATTTGCAAGTATTTTCTCCTAGTCTGTGAATTTTGTTTTCTTTAACTTTTGAAGAAAAGTTTTAGTTTTAATGAAGTGCAACTTATCAGTTCTTTCGTGTTCATGTCTTTTGTGTTCTAAGAAATCTTTCATAATTTAGGGTCACAAAGATTTTTCATGTTTTTTTCTACAGGTTTTGTATTTTTAGGTTTTATTTTATGTCTTTGATATGTTTAGAGATCATTTTTGTAAACAGTGTGAGATGTGAATTGAAGTTTTTGTTTTTTCATAAGATGTCCAGTTGTTCCAGCATCAGTTGTTTAAAATACCGTGTTTTCTCCATTGAAATGTGTTGGCACCTTTGCTGTGTGTCAGTTGAACATTATGTGTGGGTCTATTTCTGGATTCTCTGTTCTATTCCATTGAAGCATGTGTCTGTCTTTTCACTAAGACCACACTGTCTTGATTGCTGAAGCTTTATAATGAATTTTAAAAACAGGTGGTATGAATTTTCCTTTGTAAATCTTTTTAGAATTATTTTGGGTATTCCATTTACCTTTTTTCCATATAAGACAAGAGATAGTTTTTTAAAAGTTAGTTTTACAGTGCAGAATTTGAAACATTAATCCTCTGTAACATTAAAATCTATGGGACTGTCTTGAACATTGAATGAATTTTTTAAGCCCGTGAATACTTTTATAACATCACACGTAACTCATTTAGAAAATATTGGTTTCTTGAATTATATACACCTACTAATTACTGGCACATTTCATTATTTAATATTTAAAAGTTAAATTAGTTATCACCACTGATTTTTTTCAGAGAATCAAGTGTTGGGAAAGTGTCAGGCTGATGGTGGCAATACAGATTTTCCAAATTTCTTCCCTTGCTTGAAAATTCAGATTTTATAATTGGCAATGCATACTGTCAGTTGTTTTTCTTGAAGTAATAGGCTTATTTGGTTCATTTTTGAGAACAGGTCTGTCACATATCGACGTCTGAATAACCATAGTTGGTGTAGTTCCCAACTCAGTCATGCAAAGGCTTTTTCTCGAGGCAACCATTGTACTTCAATAAGCAGCACAGGTACTTTTGCCTAGTCCCCATTTTGTCACACAGAATATTGAAAAGAAGTCTACCTAGGGTCAAGATACACTTAGATTAACAATTTTACTGCTTTTTATCAAGGACATTCTTAAAAGTGAGACTGGCCTTTTCCAGAGAAATGTTGTGATAAATGTGGTCACTTTGTATTACTATGTTTATTATACTTCAAGTACAGAGATTGACTTGGAAACCTGAACTTAGTGTTACAACACTAGGAAGACAGTAAGTTACTGACATTTTAGGAACATTTGAGGTTGGTATACTGTGAGTTTCTTATTTTAAGAGCTAATACAGTTATATTAAGTTGTTGTTTTATTATCTTATAGGTGCTATACTTGGTAGATCAGAAACTCAGGAGTGTATTTTCTATAACGCTAATTGGGAAAGAGATAGAACCAATCGAACTGGTGTTGAACCCTGTTATGGTGACAAAGATAAAAGGCGACATTGTTTTGCTACCTGGAAGAATATTTCTGGTTCCATTGAAATAGTGAAGCAAGGTTGTTGGCTGGATGATATCAACTGTTATGACAGGTAAGGAAACATTTTATTTTTTTTATGAGAATGTTGAATAATCCTCTCTATTCCCTTTTTAAAGGGGAAAGATCAGTGCGTGGATTTTCACTTAAAGGTTTCTTTTTTAAGATGAGATTATGAAAACCATTTTAACATGCTCTAATGACAAGATACACATTTTAAAGTAATAAAATAAGTATGTGATGTTTATGTTTTATCTTTGATATACTTTGAATAGTCTACCAAGTAGTGAGAATTATAGATAAGAACCATTTTTCCCCTATGTTATTAGGATGATAAACTTTTTTAATATCAATTTTAAGGAAAAAGGATTTTTAAAATTGCTTTAAAATTAGACAGTATATCTATTGAAAATCTATCCTCTGTCCTCAAGGAGAGTAAGCCTAATCATAGTATTTAATTTCCTTTTAGTTTCCCTCTTTATGTATCTGGAAGAAATTGATCTTACTGCATTTCTTTTTCTTGCAAAGTAAGCCTTTGTTCTTTACCCCCAAGAGACATTTTAACTTGACGTTCAGAATTACATCAGAACTAACACAGTCCTCATAGAAAGCTACATTTTAAAGATTGTGCTTAAATTGTTTTATTCTGTACTGGAAATAAAATACATTAGACATGTTATTGACTGCCTGTGATCTTTCTGTAAGGAGTCCCACAGATGTTGGGCTGATCACTGAAACTGACTGGGCCTCAGGATTTCCACTGTAGGTGGGTGCTGATCACGGAGAGGCTGTAAGGTCCTAGTTAAACAGACATTTTGGAGCCAGAAAATACTGATATACTCATGGAACACTAGGTACTTGCCTTTCCACTTTTAGGAGCCTCAGTTCATTACCATGAACCTGTGGTTGATTGGCCATATGTGATTAATAGCAAAATGTGTTGAATAAGCCCATGAAAATGGAATTATATTAATTTTTATGAGAAATTAAAATCTTGGGTATGCATTTAGTATTTAGAGTATATTTCCAAATCTGTAAATTTTCCAGGTATTATTTCTCTGTAATTACACATTTTTAGCTACATTTCTGATTCATAGCCTCCTGATTAACAGAAGTGATCATCAAGTGATATTTGCTATTATGAAAGGTAAGTGGGACCACTAGGAAAACAGGATGGAGGTTCTTCAAAAAATTAAAAATAAAACTGCCATATGATCCAGCAATTCCACTTCTGGGTATTTCTCTGGAGGAAATGAAAATACTAACTTGTAAAAAGATATATGCACCCCCATGTTTATTGCAGCATTATTTACAATAGCTAAGATGTGGAAGCAGCCTGAGTGTCCACTGATGGATGAATGAATAAAGAAAATGTGATGTGTGTACACACACACACACACACACACACACACACACACACACCCAGAGGAATATTTCCCAGCCATTAAAAAGAAAGAAATCTTGCCATTTGAGACAACATAGATGGACCTTGAGGGTATTATGCTAAGTGAAATTCATCATACAGAGAAAGACAAATACCAACCATTACAATCACACCTATATATGTAATCTTAAAAGAAAACCAAAAAATAAAATGAATGCCTAGATATAGAGAACCAGGCATTGTTAGTTGCCAGAGGCGAGTGTTGGGATATGGATGGTTAGGTGAAATGGTTAAAGGTGGTCAGAAGGTACAAACTTCCAGTTATAAAACAAGTCCTAGGGTTATTAGTAATGTAGCATGGCAACTACAGTTAATAAGACCATATTGTATATATGAAGATTTTTTTTAAATGTTTATTTTTGAGAGCGAGAGAGGGCATACATGCATGCTCCAGGCTAAGCATGGAGCCTGACATGAGGCTCACTTCCATAACCATGAGATCATGACCTGAGCTGAAATCAAGAATCTGTTGCTTAACTGACTGAGCCACCCAGGCGGCCCTGTGTTTAGGGAATTTAAATCTACTCAAAAAAACAAAAACAAAAAACCTGACACTCTTAATTCCCAAATCTAGCTTGGGTCTCTGATGCTGAGATATGTTCTGCCATGATAGGAACTTGTGTCCTTTTGTGTATACTATGTATATTTATGTGTGTATATACTATTTATGTGTGTATATACTATGTATATTTATGTATATAATTATGTATACATACACATAATTTTATTGATAGCATTTAGCTTTTGTATTTATGCCATAGGAAAGCTGTATTTCCTATAAGAGAAAGCACTCCTAAAGCAAATTTCTTCATTGGCTTAATGTTCCTTTTCAAGCTTTTCTAGTAATTAAAAAGAAATAAATAAAAGGTGGTTGCCTTAGATGGATCATTAAAAACCAAAATAAAGTAGTGGTCTCAAGGAGTTAGTGTGATTGCTATAAAATCATCTGTTGTGTTTTGATGAGATTTAATAACAGGATTACAGAAACATTTTTGGCTCTTAAGAATTGATCATTGAATATTAATAAAAATCTTGAGGTTGACTATGAATGACTTTTTCATTATTTCATCTCTGAGAAGAACTTTAGCAAAACTTCATTGTAGATTCAATATAATGTTGATTTTAATTATTTCTCCTTTGTTTGTTTATAGGACTGATTGTATAGAAAAAAAGGACAGCCCTGAAGTATATTTTTGTTGCTGTGAGGGCAATATGTGTAACGAAAGGTTTTCCTACTTTCCAGAGATGGAAGTTACACAGCGTAAGTTTACAGGGAAAATACATAGGTCTGTTCAACTAGTACACTGAAAACAAAGCATATTTGTGTTGATGGAATAATTTACTCATACCTTCTCCTAAAATTTGATACCATGATAAATATTTCTTGTGGAATTTTGTAGGCCAAATCTGAATTGTTTTTTTTCCTTCCATTTTCCACAGCTACTTCGAACCCAGTTACACCTAAGCCACCCTATTACAACATATTGCTCTATTCCTTGGTGCCACTTATGTTAATTGCGGGGATTGTTATTTGTGCGTTTTGGGTGTACAGGCATCATAAGATGGCCTACCCTCCTGTACTTGTTCCAACTCAAGTAAGTTATTGTCTTGTATTTTGTGCTCTTTTAAATTTTATATTTTAAAGAACTACCACTGCAGTGAAACCCACCAAATTGCTATAAACCATTTTCTTTTGGAGTTAACTTTTGGAATGTTTGTTGTTATGAGAACTATAGCTAGTTTTCCAAACGTACTAAGTGCTATATCCTGAACTTCTCTTACTCAGGAGTTGAGCTAGTAGAGTGGAACAAAGGGTATTCCTGTTCTTTGGACAGTTTTATTGTCATTGTAGTACTTTCGAGTGGGAGATTCTCCCTGCTTTGTTTCTTGAGAATTAATTGATGATGGAGAAGCAATACCACAACCCTTTCTTTCCTTCCATTCTTTTTTCCATTCTTAAATTTTTGTGTCTTTTTCAAGACAGCTTGCCAAATTATCCTTTTAACCACAGGGAGGGATTTAGCAAGATAATCAAGAAAGTGTGGAAAAAAGAGGTTTCACAAAGGCGCCAGGAAGATATATGCATAAAAATGTTTTGGGAAGAAGAGCAGATAATCAGTGCTTCTCATTACTTGTCATTGGTAGTTGCAGGTGCATCGTTATTGTTTGCAGTATATCAAGCATGTACTGAGGACTAAAAGCTTTTTTTTTTTTTTTTTTTGAAGACTAAAAACTTTTGTAATACTCTCAATTTCACTCTCCTGACCCCAAATATACCTGAAAATGTAGATATGTTGAGTAATCAAATTAAATTCATGAAATTTTCTTCATTCCCTGTCATGTAGGCAGTGGTGCTGGTACAGTGGTTTACAAGCTCTTTTAATATAAGTAGTTAATGTTCTGCAGGCTGAGGAGTGGTGAAAGCTTTGGCATACTTGTGTGAGACATCTTTGAACTGTAGTTTTTACTGTGTTTCTTTTAACTCTTAAGATCAGATTACCTTGGCCTTCTGGCTCTCTTGGTTTAACTTTGTTTCTCTGATACCACTAGGATTAATGGTTAAAACTTGATAGAAAAAAATGGTGGAGTCCTGTATTTTAATGACCAAAATAATTTCTTTCCCTTTAAGCTTTATTTACATAACATCCTTCTTCCTTAGTACTTGAAGCAATCTGTTAGCATTAGATTATTGATCCCCATAATCTTTTAAGATGTGTGTATGGAGAAATAAACCCAAAAGTAAAATACCTTATTCTGCAAATTAGGTAAACATGCTATTTTGTGCAGCTGAAATATTTTGACTTTTGCACATTAGTAACTAAGTTATGAGTTTATTAAAAATTGTCTCTAAAAAAGCATTTTAAAATAAAAAAATAAGGGGCGCCTGGGTGGCGCAGTCGGTTAAGCGTCCGACTTCAGCCAGGTCACGATCTCGCGGTCCGGGAGTTCGAGCCCCGCGTCAGGCTCTGGGCTGATGGCTCAGAGCCTGGAGCCTGTTTCTGATTCTGTGTCTCCCTCTCTCTCTGCCCCTCCGCCGTTCATGCTCTGTGTCTCTCTGTCCCAAAAATAAATAAACGTTGAAAAAAAAATTTTTTAAAATAAAAAAATAAATGCCTAATAAATATATGTAGTTTACTCCAAATGGTCGTAGGCTGTACACTTTATCTTCTCTTGGTGGCAACTATTTTTTATTTATGTTTGTATTTAGAAGGGAGAGTATTTAGTACTTGTAGTAGTGTCTGAATTTACCCTAGATTTGTGTGATGATCGAAACAAACTGGAAACTCAATTTAAAAACAAATTTGTTAAGTTTCTTAATAAAACTTAAAAAAATCATGTAATTTTATAGAAAGCATTGATATTTACATAATATTAGCACAAAGGTGTGGTTGGCCTTTCTTTTAAAAGGCTCAGTATCGGGGCGCCTGGGTGGCTCAATTTGCTGAGCGTCCGACTTCGGCTCAGGTCATGATCTCGCGGTTCGTGAGTTCGAGCCCCGCATCAGGCTCTGTGCTGACAGCTCAGAGCCTGGAGCCTATTTCAGATTCTGTGTCTCCCTCTCTCTCTCTGACCCTCCCCCGTTCATGCTCTGTTTCTCTCTGTCTCAAAAGTAAATAAACGTTAAAAAAAATAAAAAATAAAAAAAATAAAAGGCTCAGTATCTTAACACATGAGGCCATTTTATTTAGAAATGATAATTGGGGCGCCTGGGTGGCGCAGTCGGCTAAGCGTCCGACTTCAGCCAGGTCACAATCTCGTGGTCCATGAGTTCGAGTCCCGTGTCGGGCTCTGGGCTGATGGCTCAGAGCCTGGAGCCTGTTTCCGATTCTGTGTCTCCCTCTCTCTCTGCCCCTCCCCCGTTCATGCTCTGTCTCTCTCTCTGTCCCAAAAATAAATAAACGTTGAAAAAAAATTAAAAAAAAAAAAAATTAAAAAAAAAGAAATGATAATTAATTCAAACGTTTAGACTTTAAAAAGGAAAGATGCAGTTATTATTCATAAATAACTGAGAATCAGGAATCTTCAATGAATATCCATTTCTGTGGGCTTTGGATATTTGTTACCGTATTAATGATACTGTACACATTTATTTAGCACTTGAATTGCTCTGTGGTGAATTTGCATGGTTTTGTGATGGAATGATCTGGAATGGTCAAGCTTTCTTAGGAAAAATATAAACATGCCTAACTTTATGCTTTCCATCTGTTGCAAACTATGTTGTGCAAAAGAGGGGTTGTCATCAATTTGGAACTTAGTTTATATCATCTCTCACTGTCTCAAACAGTATAGTATCATGCTTTAAGTCTCATTTTTGGTGAGAGGATTATACAAAGTAGTTCTGCAACACTGCTTAGTGGCCATCCTGTTACAAAATGATCAATTTTATCTCCTATTTTAAAGTAATTATTGATAATAACATCAAGTATTTATTGAACACTTAGAACGTATTGTACTAGGATACTGGTAAGTTACATAAATATATAAAGACAAGAATTTTCTATAAGAATATGTAAAAACATACATAAATTTTTTTTCCATGGTTCCTAAATTATGACTGGTATGTAAGGCTCATCTTTGGAATTTGTTAAAAAATACAAATTCTTGAGCCACATCCCTGTAAGTATGGAGTGGGGCCTGAGATTTTATGTTTCTAATAAATTTCCAAGGTGATTCTTGTGACCAGCCAGGTGTGAAAAATGCTGATTTGATTTTACCTTACAGGGTTGTTTATGTAGTTTCAATCCCCATTTTATAGATAAAGAAATTGAGACATAGCAAAACTCACAAGTGTCAGAGCTGGAATCCGAACCAAGGACTCTGACACTAAACCTTTACTGCTTTGTGCTGTTCTGCCTCCTCCCCTCCCCCCAGGAAGCTGATGTCTCTGCTGTTTTAAAAATTCAGTAAACATCACTGCCATCTCAAAATCATTCTATAGGTTAATTTATTTTCCTACTTTGGATATTGAATAGTCTGACTACTAAAATGAGTAATAACATCATCATATGGCCTCACATAGGACAAAAAGGAAAAGTCATGGAAATATAGAAGGGCATATTCCTGTGTTTCCATTAAGAAAAATTTTTAGCACATTTTAGAATAAGGTTTATCAGCATTGATTGGTTGTAGGTAAGGATTCCTGAGTCTCTGAATTGATAGTGCCCCTGCCTATTAGTTATTCAAGACTTTTGTGAGAGACAGGGGTAGTAAGGGAGACATACATTTGAAGTCTTACAGTGATTTCCCTATTTCGTCCATATTCAGGTTCCCATACTCAAAGCTTAATTTCAAGGTTTATGAATTAGGAAAATTCCAGGGTTTAGGTTTAGGAATTCTGGAAAGATCTTATATTCTTGTGGATTTTTCCTCCCAAATTTTCAAACATTTTTAGACAGTGTCATGAAATATTTCATTCCTTTTATTAGGTAAACTTTTCCTTAAAGCTTTGGCTAAAGGCTGGTTTGTGAATTAATTGGTCTTTGTAAGACATTAGTCTCATTGTGGTAATATCTTCTTGAAAAGTCATTGCTACAATAAGAACTATACTTGAGAATTTACAGTGAATCTCACAGAGCAAGCTGAAGTTATACATACTGTGATCATTCCTTGGTCTGATCTCAGTCTTTTATTCTCACTGGGGGCTAAAAGATCAGTCCTATGGCATCCTGGAAGACGAGAGATATCCACATGTATCTTTTTACTAAGCTGGTTCTGACAGCTAAATTGTAGGATTCTTTATTTCTAAGACATTGAGTTAGAATTTCTTCTGGTGTTAGTATTTTATTGTGAGGAAGTGATATGGAAATATACATGCTTTAAAATCTGGTCTTTAATTATGGTTCTTAGTAACCAGTAAAAAATATTTATTCTCAGATCTAGTATAGTTAGAAGTATGGGTAAAGTAATTTTGTTCTTTTTTTTTTTTTTTTAATCGAAGCCATCCTTCTTTCTTTATAAT